TATCCCAAGGCCGCTGCCCTTTTTTTTGGGGGGGGGGGGGGGGGGGGAGGAGGGTGCAAGTACGTTGGAGTCACAGAGGATGTTCAGAATAGGCAACTTTAGCAGCTCCCAAAATGGAGCAAAAAAGGCGACACCCCTAAACTGCCAAGGGCCACTGCGGGTATAATGACTGGTGCAGTTTTAGACCCCCGCTAAACTTGCACATTTGGAAACTCACACCATGACATGGGCACCACTTTGTCTTTTTATTGCCTATTTCAAACTAAAAGTGTGCCACAGCCACAGTTTCCCTTTTTTTTTTTTTTTTTTTTTCCCTTTCAACTCTAACTCCAGAGAGCTCCTCCCTTTCAATCCACAGGAAGTCATTGGACACTGGTGCCTTGAGAGCCTGTTTTCTGGTCCAGGGAAAAGGGTTTCAACTTGAAGGACTGAATTAGCCTTCCTAGTAGTTTGCTACCCGTTAAACCGCCAGTACACGGCCCCAGCCTTGCTGAAAAAGAAACTCGTAGCCTACAAATTTTTTTGTAGGCTCGGCCTACCAGACCACGATGGCTGGCGGCGCCAGCCAAAAAAGAAAAAAAAAAGTGCCGCTGCAGAAAAGCTTGGTGCGCAGTAAGGGGCCTGCAGGCCCGGGTGTACTGCCGGTTTAACTAGACATGCAGAAACTGCCCAACTTGTATGCCCTGTTATATCAAGCAGGTACCTTTTCTTGTATGTGATGGGGGGGTATATAAGGGGGCACCTCCCAGCTGTGCCGAATTGCTTTACGGGACACGGGCAAGTTAATTTTGCAGCCCTTCCTTTTTTCTGTTGTCCACTTTCAGCAGGGGTTGTATATTAGTGGTTCCCTTTTTGTTGTGCTGTCCCCCCACATTCTTTTGCTTTTTTCTTCTAAAGTTTTTTGTTTTTTAATAGCATATTTTCATTGGATGAGCAAAAGGAGGCCGGGAATCCCTCCACATCTCAACCCGGAATACTGGGGCCAATACCCAGTTTGGGCTCAGACTGGAAAACGGGTCCAGTGTTCCATGCTTCGAAAGCCTTACATACTATTCCGGAAAGAAATATGGAAACTGGACTAACTAAACTACAACCAGCACGAAGAGGAAAAATCCCTAGAAGGACAGGAAGTAACTACTCCTAAAATATCCCTTTTTTTCCAAAACCCTAGCTAGCTCTTCTGCGCGTTCTGTGCTGCGTTTATGTCCGCCGTACTGTCCTGTGAACGCCCTGTTTCTAATAATTTCTAATAAGGCGAAGTCCGTTGCGTGCGTTATGTCTTCCTTGTTGTTCTTCCTGCAGCTTCCATACCAGTCTCGAAGGAGCGCCTTCTATGGTGCCGAGCTTACCGGTTCCGAGCCGGTCTTTGCTGAATTTGTCTATGATTGCTTGCTTTTTTGTGGGGTCTTCTTTAATGTTATTGGTTGCCTGGTGCCAGTCCGCCTGGTACTCCGTCTGTAAGAGTTGCAGTAAGTGTACCCAAGCCTCCTGGGTTGGTGTGTTTTGGCCGACTATCGTTTCTTTGCATCGTGTCTTCCATACGATCCACAGCGTAAGGGGGCAAAGTCGTCGTAAGAGGGTTGAATGTCAAGTTTCTCGAAGTCGTGGTTGTGCCTGGCCCGTTAGCCGTGTCAGCAGGTTATCAGGCAGTGGTGTACCGGTAATCGAAGACCAGAGCGCCTGCGTTCTGTCCCAAAGCCTTTGTGCTTTCGGGCAGTATATCAGGCAGTGAGGCAGATCCTCGAGGGTCCCGGCGTCGAAGACTGCACAGCTGTCGTCGAAGTCCCATCTGGCCGTTGCCAATCTTCTCTTGGTGAGCCATGTGTTGACCGGCAGGGCATGATAGTAGATGAGCCATTGCATGCTTCTTATCCGGGTGTTCCTGATGGCAAGGCGAACCTGCCAGTCAAGTTTCAGCGTATCCCCCCGGCAACCCAGGATGTGTTTCTCCCACCGCTGTGACAGGATGAATTCTGTGTTTAGTGGTCTTCGTCTGAGCTTATAGCCGAAGCTGGTCGAGTAAGATGTTGGTTCTTTTCTGTGTCCCTGTTGACGCGGATGTGGTTTTCCAAACCCACTGGCCGGGTCCAACTCCAGGTCTTGTAGGAGCGTTCCTGGCTGGCATATTCTGTAGTTGTCGTCCTCGACCACTTTACTCTTCCTGAGGAGGGTCGGTTTGGCTGTGACTTGGGCCCGTGCTGTTTTGGAAACCCTGCTGACCGTGCTCCCTGGCTGTTTGATGTCGTGGATGGTCCACAGCCCCAAGTAGCCTGCCGGCCCTGTTGACTTCACGTATGACAATGCCGTCGTAGGAGTATTCTTTGAGTGCCACGTGGCCCACTCCCCCATAGTCCAGGCAGACGGAGTTTGTAGTAGTGCCACCCAGTCTGGTGGTATGGATTGTAACATCCCCTGCAGGTTGGCATCCAGGTTGTGGCAGCCCTTGAGGGATTCTCTGAGCTCTACACATGTCTTCCAGCGATTGCAGTGGTGGTTCCATATGTGTTTGAGTTGCCACACGCCTCGTTCCAGCCACGTAATCCAGCGGCCATCCTGTGTCGTCAGGATCCATGGTTTGTCAGAGGGGTCTTCCAACCACTGGTTGCAGAAGAGGGGCTGACGCAGGACTTCCTCTCTGTTGGCAGGGCTCCGAACTTTGGCCGGGAAGATCTCTCGCCAGATCCTGATTAGGTACATCCAGTACTCCGACCGGGTCGACGGTGCAAGCTGTTGCTGTGGATCCATCTGTTCGGGACTGGCGCGGGACGACCAAGACTTCGACATCAGCCAAAAAAGCCCCTGCATGTTGGGCGGTGTGGTGGCTTTGGGTAGCTGCCTGATCCTGTGCAAGGCCAGCGACGTCCAGGGGGGTCGTTGCTGTACCAACAGCTTGAAGATCCACTTCGTTTGGAGGGTTTTGGTTTGGGTTGCCGGGTCGAGGATCCCCAATTCGCCTTTACCCTTTGGTTGGACGAGGTGCGACCAAGCAACCTTGAGTATGAAGTGTTGTGCGGTGGGGTTCCCCGTCCATAAGTAAGCCGTGGCTCGCCGTTTGAGAGTGGTAACCATGTTGGCCTCTGGTGTCCAAATCGCGGCAGCATACCACAGCATGGAGAAGATGGACGCATTGAGCACCAGTTCCCTTCCAAAGACCGACTTGTAGGTGCTGGACCAGGTATCCTTTCTTTTTTCTTGGTTTGATGAACTTTGATCCTTTCTTTGCTTTTTTTGTTCAGTGGTCCCTGTTCTTCGTGCTTTGCAGGAAACGACATCATTCGGACATTTTGTCCTTTTGCACCTTAGCGAGCGTGAGTAGTTTTCGAATTTGTTTTCCGACATGCGCATTCGGACAAAGGCATTGCCGTTCTCTTCCTGGTGGTTCGCCTGACAAATCTCCATCATCGCCTTTTGCACCGCAGGTTCGCGCTCGGCGGAGTGGTGGGTATAGACTTAACATGGTAGAAAGTTTCACACAAAGGGCGTAAGGAAGAGAAGGAAACAAAGCCTGGTGCAGACAGCACACCAGAAAACCATCATGCGTAGAAAGTACTAGAAACGCATATGTGAAAAAAAAAAGAAAAAAAGAAAAACGGGCCAGAAGGCATCAATCAATATCTGGACTGTACTGTTGTGGCATACTGTGCAGCCACACGGGCCTTGCAGGGCCCGTCCCAGACCTCCAGCCTGTTTCCCTACAGGGAAACTTCCAGGCTCTTGCCTGGAAGCTTCCTTCTGGCAGGGCCTACAGGCCCCAGCCTGTTTCCCTACAGGGAAACTTCCAGGCTCTTGCCTGGAAGCTTCCTTCTTACAGGGCCTACAGGCCCCAGCCTGTTTCCCTACAGGGAAACTTCCAGGCTCTTGCCTGGAAGCTCCCTTCTGACAAGGCCTATAGGCCCCAGCCTGTTTCCCTACAAGGAAACTTCCAGGCTCTTGCCTGGAAGCTTCCTTCTGACAGGGCCTACAGGCCCCAGTCTGTTTCCCTACAGGGAAACTTCAGGGAACTTCCAGGCTCTTGCCTGGAAGCTTCCGCAGGGTCTAGGCCAGAGGAGCATTGGCACGGCCAGCCTCCTGCACGGGCCAGCACTATAAAGGACTGGCCCGCCCTGCAGAAAAGGGCAGTAGGCAGTTGGAGAGTAGGACGGTAGTCTTCAGATTTCGGCCGCAGCACTCAGGAGGAGCGCTGCAGTAGTCTTCAGCGCTAGGCGGTA